ATTTGTGCAGCTTTTAAAGAATTCCACAGACTGCGAAACTGATAGTTAATGGAACTTTTTATCCCAAAATTCTGGAATGGCTATGATTGAAAGCATCAGGAGGTTTGTGATTCTAGGTCACTGCATGCTTTGTCTTCACTTGGAAGATGGGACCAAACTTGCCTTTTTATAAGGGTATTGATCCTGCCATAGAATTTTTGTCTAAAATACCTCTTAACATTTCAGCTCTTAGCACTGTTAGAAAAGCAATTAAATTGCTACAGGAGTTATAGAAGGTACAAAATACAAGCAGTTGTGAGATATTAATGAAAATCCATTTAACCAAATAAATATAACAGTGATTAACTGTACAAAGGTAAACTGTGGTTACATGAAAAAAAATATAAAATAGAGATATTTCTATTTGAGAAGATAAAAAGGTTTCCCTAAGAAACTGATGCTACTTGAGATTTGATGCAAAAACAGGAATTTACTATAGACAGGATGGACTACGGCAGATTTGAGCATGGAAAGTGGAGATTGCAGTGGACACTGCAAAAATGCTAGAAAGAGACAGACAATGTTCTAGGAGAAGGGAGAGTTGAATGTTAGGTTTTTTATAAGCCTAGTATAATAATTGTTCAGGTAAGATGGCTGCAGTCTGGAATTATCATGTGCGCATGGGACATTGCTCAGAGGTAGACAAGCCAAAAGGAGAATGTTAAGAAGAAAAAAGCACTTCTCACTTGGAGCAGAGAAATTGTCCACTTTTTTACACTCAGGTTCAGCTTCTTTTTAGAAAATTGGATTTAGGATTGACCAATTGATTCTAAAATTCTTATAAAATATAAAGAAGCTGTAATAACCAAACAATTGAAAAATCAACAAACTATGAGAATTGGAGTGTTAATGCTATCTTCTGAAGACAACGTAAAGTTACGTTAACCACATCAGTGCATCTTTAGAATTTAGAGAGAGGAACATGTCAGTTTATTTTATGTCAAGTAAAGGTATTTAAATTAAAAAATAGAGTTTCATTATTTGAGTAATAACACAACAGGCAATGCGTGAACACATTTATGTTCTCCAAAATTCAAATTTTGAGCCAGCTATTTAAAACACATCTATATTTTTCTGAGCCCTTCCTATCCATATGTGATGGACAATAACACCGTCTATGCAGAGTAGTTGCCAGAACCCAAGAGTGCACCTTTACCGAGTATCACATACTGTCTGGCACACTTTAGGAACTCAAAAAAGTAGGCTTTCTCAACTTCTTTGTCAGTGTTTAAGTACAGAGTCTGAATTTATTTCATATTTGTAGTCACTATAATTTTACTTTCTAGAAGTTCAATAAATGTCAGTTTAATTAAATATTTAATAACAATAAAGATCTGAAAAATCCAAAATTTTATAAGAACAATGTATAGATTAAGAAAGAATTATAGCAAAACAAGTTAAATATTTTAGACAAAGACCACTGACAAAAGCTACTTTATTCCGGTAAACTGGTTAATCAAGAAAGTTGAAACACAATTTTCATTGACCAGGCTTTCACTGAAAAGTGACATTTATTATTTTTAAGTACAAAGACAAAAAGAATAAATGTGAGAAGTGAAAATTATGTCATTGTGGTTGAAATATTTAAACTTTATGTCCTAAATTATAGCAGTGTTAGATACACATAAACTTTATAAACTGGTTAGAAAATTTAAACATATGGAAATAAATCATACTATATTGATACTCATAAGTGAATTAATGCCACTTCTGTATATATTTGTGTATGTGTGTGTGTGTGTGTAAAGACAAAAATGTAAGAGAAAAGATTTTTAATTGTATTTTTATGTATTTTGGTAAAGATAGTGAGTCAATTTAACATCAGATTTAAAACTGACTTTTGATAGCAGCAATTGTTTATGTTTATAGGGATTATAACAGAAACTATGCCTTTAAGGTAAAAAAAAATCATGATAGTATAAGATGGATTCTACTGTTCAAATGACATTTATAACACTCCTGCAATAAAATTAAATTAAATTAAACATTAATTTGTAATCATGAATATGTAGTTTTGACCAATACAGTGGAAAAACACCAAGAAAATACACAGCTGTATAAAATTCTGAATTGAATAATATACCAGAGAAAAAGAAATGGTCCTTTACTTTTGTTATAGTGACATTGAAGTAAATATACATAAAACATTTTACTTTTTTAAAATATTTTACTTTGTTTATGTGGGGATAAATGAAACTGAAAAATTTTATGTGATTCTCTTTGCAAAAGTTGAAATAAAAGCAGTTCTGTGTTTTTAAAGAAAATAACATTAAATTATTGATGCATTTTAGTATGAGGGGTGTGTTATATTTGTCTCTATTCCTCAAATCCTGTACAATGACAGTATTTAAAGATAATGACAAATATGCAGCTAAACTAATATGTATATGATATTTTTGGATAATGGGAAATTTATGGATGCTAGTGGCAAAAACATGTTGATGTCAATTTCGGAGAATATCCACCAAACACTAGTAACCACCATACTTATTATTTTTTGAAAATTCTTAGATGTTGATATGGCCATGAATTTAGATATAAATATAGATGTAGATAACAGATTTTTTTCATTAACAGATTATTTTTATACTTTTGACATTTTAGTGCACAAATTGAAGTTTTGCCACCAGTGACAAGGTTAGGGTATAGAGTAACAGAGGGCAGGAATAATAATACATGTACCGTAGTACATCACAGCGTCGGTTGAACAATAGCTATCTTTTCCTCTTAGTCTTTAATGGCTTACATTGGCAAGTCTCCACATAATTCTTTTGGATAAATTGTAGTATAATAATTTACCTGGTGTAGAAAGTAATCAGTTAGCATTCATCCTCTTTTCTAATGCTTTTCTTAGAAACTGAGATTGCATTTAGCCTGAAATTTTCCTGGCAGCTAATATTTACTATCCAGGACCTGGCTAGATGCGCAGTCTCCCAAATGAGTGTATGACGAAGACTTAAAGAAATGTGACAAGTAGTGTGATTTTAGGGCTCCACAGGGATCAAAATCCACTTACAGAGTTTGGGACACTGGAGGCTAAGCCAAAGAGCTTTTCTGGGCAACTCATAATTATTAGTTATTCAGACAAAAATGGGGGACATTGAGGAAAGCATAGGAAATGAGCAAGTCCTTGGGAGTCACTTCAAAGACTTCTCCAAGTCGTAAATTATGCCAATTTAGGAGAACCGTCTTATCACCATGATGACATTTATGATAGGAGTGAGACCACAGGAGTGAGATGCCTGCAGCTACAGTCTCTATCTCGTTAATTGGAGTTGGAGTGAAGGTGTCCTCGGCTGTGGCCTTATCTTGTCCTTTGAGGTATCTCTGGCCTCCAAAGCCACTACAGGCATCAGCCAGGATGAGTGATTCATACAGGTTCACTTACTATGAATCAGCTTCCTAGGCAAGGGACCTAGGCCTAGGACAGACTCACAGATAAACGTAGAAGGCCAATGAGTTCATTTTAAATCCTGCTCAGAGCCGCTTCGTAGTAGTCTCTAACATTTTACAAGTTAATGAACCTGAACAAGAAATCACTATTAAATCTATGATAGGAAATGATGGCAATATTATCACAGAATTATTTAATGTGATTTCAATATCTCTTTTTCTTCAGAAAGGAAAAAACAAAGAGAATTTTTCTGATAAGTACAATCATATGATATGTGGATTTTATCATGAATACCTTCTCTTAATTCACATATACCGTTAACATTTTTTATAACTTATAATGTCAATCTGACCATATTGCAACTAAATGAATGTTTATAGTTATAAAATATGAATGAGAGCAATATAGTTAAATATTACTTCAATTAGATTTTTACTTTTTTTTAATGGGTACTGGGATCGAACTCGCAACCGCCTGCTTTACAAGGCAGGTGTTTATGCCGCTAAGCTAAATCCCCAGCGCCTACTTCAATTAAATTTTAAAAATATAGTCATGTGTGACTTGTACATGGTATGCAGAATTTTCATGTATTTGTGGTCAGAACTTCTAAGGAGACTATGTTATTTATTAATTTTCAATTCTATTTAGAATAATTGCCACTCGGTTTCTTAGGGATCGGTATTCTTTACAATACTAATTTCTACCAAAACTTTTACTAAAAAGTCTGTGTGAAAGCCAAAACAAACAAATAAACAAACAAACCAAATCAAATTCAAGAAAAAGAAAAAGAAAAAGTAATATGGCCACAATAAACTGCAATATTCTATAGGATAGGACTAGTGTTTGCAAAATAACCTACAGTATGACATATACATGCCATGATATTGAAGAACTTCAGACTTTTGAAGAAAGCATGTTTTATTTGTAAAATGAGAAAAAGTAGTTTTTGTAGCTCCCAAATTCTTAGAAATAATACAAAACAGTTTTAAATACATAAGTCATATTAAAATAATTTACTAGTGAAATAGAAAAACTTTACCCCTGACATAAACCTGATAGGGCATGTTACTAATATTTGTTAATTCCATATCAAAGAATTAGATCTCATTATGAAGTATAAAAAATGAGAAAAAAGATTTGAGTCAAGTAGTTTATTAATTTTTGGGATTCAAAGAATAAAGACTCACTTTCTTGCTATGATGGACTAATGTCTAATGGTGTAAGTAGAAAGAAAAGAAGCAATAACCCATGGTATCATATGTGCTCTGACAGAATTGCACAAGAGAGGCTACTTTTGCAGACTAGGAAATTATTCCTAAAGTCATAGAGAAAATGGAGGTTCATGAAGGAGAGTTGCTTCATGAAGTAAATTCCAAAGCCACATTGTTAGCCAGAGATAAGATAATAAATAATTTATATTCAAGTTATTGATTCTAAGAACTATAGAAAGAATATAGATGTAGTAGAAGAAGAAAGGATTTGAGGAAATAATTGCTACATCTCTGTTGAGAACATAAAGGATGATTTCATTTTTTATTTGGAAGATTATGGGAATCACTAGGAGAAATTTATCTATTGATATTTATTGATTTTTACTTATTTACATTGAGAGCCATATAAAATTTCCCAGAAGGAAATTGAAAACACTTCAGAAACACAGTTCTTCCAGGACATACATTCATAGCTCTTAGACAGCCTTAGCCCCTTGTGTGCTGGAAGTTTAGTCCCAAATACAAGTGTTAGGAAAGGTGTGAGCTTTAGGAGGTAGGAATTAGTGGAAATAATTGGGCTGCTGGGCACCACCTTGGAGGGGTATTATTGTCCATCTTGCATGGTGGGTTCAATATCTTGAGACTAATGAAGGGAAGTTTTAAGTTTCTAATGAAGGGAAGTCGTAGCCTGTGGTTGGCGTCTTCCACACATTCTTCTGTCATGTCATCCACCATTTCAGATGTCTCTTTTGGCTTTCTCCAACCTATGGACTTCCAAGGTTTACAGTCTCTAAAACCATGAGTCAAAATAAATTTTTTTCTTTATAAATACTCAGTTTTGATAATTTTATTATAGTAACAGAAAATAGATTAAGACAAAAAGGCAACTTTCTTTAAAAATACTCTGATGCTCTATAGAATTAAAGAATCACATGTAATTTGCACATAATATAGCTTAGACAACCTAAATGTGTGTGAGTCAGCCTGTGTGTTTATGCAGCTATTACTATTGTTTATCCTAAAGGGAAAATTTAAAATAAAATATACTCAATCTTAAATATTCTGATGTATCCTCTGTTTATATCTAAACTGTCATCTTATGAATACATTTATCTTTCAGCAGTGAACTCGAGTAGTAACCCAAATTTTAGTCTGTGATATTGTAGTAGCCTAACTATGGGAAAATCTTTAAGAAATAATTGTACAGTGCTAATGAAATATCACATTTTAGTCCACTGTGAATTATGTGCAAGCATAGACCATTGAGTAAAACCTATATTCAATAATGAACAAATATCAATTCTAATTTATATTTGCTACTAAATGTTTCATAACTATTATTCTTAAAAAAACTTCAAATGTTGTTTATCATAAGGTAATTTACATTATTTTATTCTCACAAAATTATAAATAATGGCTTAGAGAGACTGTACCCTGGCTAGTCTGATTGCATAATTTGTATCTTGACATTAGTTTTTAAATTTGTTTTTGCATTACTTGTGCTGTTCCCAAACTCTCTTCTGAAAACTCTGTTCTTAGTGGCCTATGTCATTTCTTTCTGGTCTCCTGTCTGCTTGGAGATAAACAAATCTCTGTACTTTGCAAAATCTTCAGCACATTCTACCTAATCAAAAGTTACTATACACCAAGTTGTCATTTCTGACAACAGACTTTTTGAAAAGTAATTCAATAAAGAGATCCTATAACCAGGCAGTTTATTATGTCTGAATATTTCATCTACTTAGAGGAATTTGCATTTTAAAAGAAAGATCAGGATGCATTAGCCACAAATGGTGAGCCTTTAGATTTTTTAGATAGTATTCAGGGAAATATGAGCAGTTTTAAGAAATGAATGATGACAACGGTATTTACCATGTTTGAAAGACCATATCAGTACACAGAATTGGCTATATATTGATCTATTGGACTATTATTAAAATGGATGATATAAATCTTAAAAAATATGAAAATTCAGAATTTTATATATTCATCAAAAATAATGACAAAGATAATCAGGGAATAAAGATACAGGAAGAGATATTTTAAAGTAGAATTCTGATGGGAAACATTAATTTAAAAACATGCATGCAAAGGTGAAGTTGCTGTTAAATATTTTACACTAACAGAAAGCAATTAACATATCTTAAGAAGAGAATTAATGATTGAACTTTGTCAGTAAGGAAAACATCTACTGTACAGCATTCTCTTATCTTATTCCCTTTACTTCGGTTTCACTAGAAATGATGGGAATACTTTTGATTTATCACATTTTTAATTGGTCTCCTTGGTGACATGTTCCATATGTTCATTATTCATTTAGTGAAACCTCTTTGAATTCTCTATGATTTGCATACTAATTTTTCTGCTTTCCTAATCTTTAAATATGCATCATTTCATTTTCAAGCACATAGCTAGATCTTTTTATTATTTTTCAGAAATTCTTGTTCTTATCTTTCACACTTACCAAAAAATAATTTATAAACATTTCCCCAAAAATAAGTGCAAGATTAATATTTATAGAAAAAGCTGTATATCTTTTAGTTGCTATCATGTATATAAGATCTTGATAGGAAAGTGTTTTTTAAGTAAAATGTCTGAAGAATTTTTTAAATGTATAGACTACAAAATAAGTATGTGAAACTTCATATCAATCTTGCTACAAAAATCAGTCAACTTTATCTTTTTTATATTATAATATTTTTAAGTAAAATAGATCATTGGCAAAATTCCATTTTTATAGCAGTTCTAATTTTTGGTATTTTTTTATTAGTTCCACAATACAAGGGACGCTCAGAAAATATTTTTATTATGCACGACTGAAACTTGGAATCAATCAGCTTAAAGAGTCTGAAAATAAGGAAACGATATGGATGCTACTGTCATATTTCAGATAAAGTTTTAAACTTCTGTCATTTAAAACTAATGATAGGATTTGTAGCTTTACAATAGGAGTATCTTGGTTGAAAATTATACATTATTACATGGACAGAGTCCTCCAAAAACGTATCCGTACTTCAGCAACTTGACATACTAGTAAATATTTGGAAGCTACTAACCTACATTTTGAGCACTTCTTGTATTGCAGAGGCCAAAAGTAATGTGTATTAATGTCTCAATAAATTTAGTATTAATACATTTATGCAAGGTTTTTTTCCAGCTGTATACATTTTTGATGGACTCTTTTAATGTCTTTGACTCTGCCTGTGTCTCTCTGTCTTTCTGTCTCTCTCTCTCTCTCTCTTTCTCTCTCTCTTTATATATATATATATATGTGTGTGTGTGTGTGTGTGTGTGTGTGTGTGTTCAATACTTTCTGATCAAGTTCCAAGTTGGAGATCTTTTAGAGGTTTTCCAATCTTCTGTAAAACGCAAACATTAAAATATTCTATTAACAATACTGAAAGACCTATGTTACATAGGTATGGTCACAATGTTAAAGAAAGATGTCATACTTTTTGAAGTCAAACACAGGCAAGATTTGATTTGATTTGGTGCATGGATATTATACAATTATTAAAATGCACTACATTAATATTTTACAATTAATACATATCAATAACATTAAATAATTTTTTTTGTCTTTTTCATTTTTATCGGTACCAGGGATCAAACTCATGACTGCCTGCTTGCAAGGCAGGCGCTTATGCCACTGAGCTAAATCCCCAGCCCCTAAATAAATTTTTAAAGATATACTTTAAGCAAGGGAAAAGGGCATACTTTTTTAAAGAGAGGCAAATACATTAATAATTACAGAATTGGGCATAAACTATGAATTATTTTACAAGATAGGGAAAAAAAAACTATAGAGACCAGACCGTATAGGACCCAGATTATAGCAGAAAAGACCAGAGTTATCACTTTAGCAGAGACAAAGAACTTTATAACCTCTTCATAAAGAGATCAGTAATGTATCATGTCTTCAGATTCTCATTCAGAGTATGAATTTAGCTATTATGAAAGAAGTTTATCATATTTATAAACTTTCCAATAAAAAAACAATATATATTTTTATTTGTATTTTGAACAGTTACTCATACACAGTTATGTTTTGACTAGGCTTCAGACTGCAAAATCCAGAGCAAGGACGTAGGCTCTGCTCCAGTTCCAGATGAGGTCAGGTACATTAGTTCTCATCTTGATTGCAATAAAGAGGAAACTCGAGTAAATACCAGGAAAATTTTCTAATGTTAAATCTTTCCAGCAATAAAATAACTCCTTAATGAATCAGAGAATTCCCAACTGCTAGACTCATTCAGGCAAAAACTATTAATCTTGTTTTCTGTGATATTATATGAGATATTTTTTGATTTATGAGAAATACTTCTTTTCTATTTCAAGAATCAAAGTTTCTAACATCTAAATTTCTTCTGCATACATTGGTTGATTATTACATGGTGATATCATTGTTATTCCTTTCTTTAATGATTTTCATTGGTTCTTTAATCTGGGTACATATGGATTGAGGAAAGGACAGATGATACACAGTTTGGTTTTTAAAATGCTCTATAACAATGAAAGAGAAAATTATTGGAGTGATTTTTTTTTAAGAACTAGTCAAAATTCTTTGATAATGAAGATATATAGAAAAATAATTAACATTGGCAGATAGACTAAGACACTGTAATAAATTTATTTATAATAAATAATATAATAATATATAATAAATAAATAATAAATTAATGAAATAGAATATATATTGAGAGTTTCAAAGGAAAGTAAGGGTAGGAGAAAAGCTTCCTATAATTGAGGACTGAGATTATTCTTGAGGTCTATGAGATGAGATTGAAATGATAGCATATTTTAGCTGAAAAAAATGAGTAAATTATAATTTGTAGAGGATCAGTAACATGATATAATTCCAATGGATCATTTTGTAAATGTTAATTTTTTTCTTAGAAGTGTTTTGTTGATAGAATTTTGAAATGAAAAAATTTATTTGCCACATTTCTGATTAAGTTTATTCCTACTCACTGAATTCAGAGATAGTTTAAAATGATAGTATATATTATTACATAATGTTTTATATATATATATATATATATATATATAATTTATTTTATCATTGTGTGCTTTTTTGGTCTAATACATGATTATTTATTAATTCATTAAGAGAAAGTAGCTTTCCTTTGTTCTGAACTTATTAGTATGCTCAACAAACTGACTCATTTTGACATCGAAGTGTTTACTAAGTGAGAAAGTGTGCCAAAAATGCAAATTTCCCTTATTCAGTTAGAAAGAAAGACATGCAAGAGTAAATTAAATCAAAATTAAGTTATTTTTCTGACACATTTAATTATTATATAAATTTTATAAAAATAGTTTTGTTTAAATTATTATAGAAATACTGAACTGTAAATGTAGCATAGCAAAAGCACACTGTAAAACCCTAAATAAATTATTAAGCTATTTAAAATTTGGATACTAGATTAAGAATTCAAGTCCAAAATAATAAAGACTTCAGAGGATTTCCTAAAATGTTTTAAAACAAAAAGGTCATAAATACAAACCTTTTCATTGCATTACAAATATAGAGAACTTAATGAATGATCTCGAATGTAAGCATAAGAAATATCCAGAATATTTTTATTGCTCTGTTAATATGATTAGGTAGAATAAAAGTATAATTATGCAATGGTCTGATGGATGAATGTATCGTATTGGGTCAAATTCAGCCAAATCTTGCAACATGACATAACAAAACAACAAGTATGAAATGCCATTATTGATTGAATATAAATATTTCTATCTTGGTTCAGTCTTTATCAATCATCAACAAACACTTCAAAATCATATATCATTTTTGAAAAATACTTTTTTTTTTTTTTTTGTCTTTTTCATTTTCATTTTTATCGGTACCAGGGATCGAACTCACAACTGCCTGCTAGCAAGGCAGGTGCTTATGCTGCTGAGCTAAATCCCCAGCCCCTGAAAAATACTTCTTTACTAAAGTTTATTGTTTACATTCCTTCACACATATTGAAATATATCATATTTAAAAATTTTTTCTTTATGGTGACCTTGTAGTAAAATACAAAGATTATAATACTCCATTGATGTTAGCATGTAACAAAGATACTGAAAATATAAAAATAATTATTTATTTATACTTTTCATTAAAACATTACCTTGTAAAAATTATATAGATAAATAAATGTTAAAAATTTAACATGTTATTTAAATATTTATTGGCTATTTACTATCATTACTTATTGACTAAAGAGTAGAGACATGGCAGAAATTGGATAGACTTCAGAGACTTTTAGAATAAATTAGGACATTTGGTGTTGGGTGAGTTAGGTATAAGGTCAAATAGAGTTACCTGAATTTCAGTAAATGTGTCCAAATTCTGTCCATATATTTTACTGACACACAATGAAGGCAGATATCACATAATCCATTCGTTCAAGATAATATGATCACATAATTTTAAATTATAAATTTCTAACGAATGTAAGTAGCAAATTGAATTAAGTGAAACATGCTGTTTTTCCACCCAATTATCATCTTTACAGATCTAAAGGAGAAACATCTGTTAACGAGTTATAAGTCTGACTGCTGACTGAGAACAGCAGGCAGCCTTCAGTTAATCATCTGTACCCCTACAAGGGCCCCCTGCTCAAGGATGTGAATTACTAATGATGGTTTCCCAAGGATAAGCCACCATGCAGTCTTCATATAAAAGGAAGCAAAAATCACAGCAGGAGGAAAGGGCACTGACAGTTTAACCAAAAAAAAAAAAAAAAAAGAGGCTCTTAACCATTATATTGGTAGCTTAGAGGTTTGCTTCAGAACCTCTTTGCAAAACATAGACTAAAACTTGCTGTATAAGAAGGTATTAGCTTTAAATATAGCAAATAACTTAGTGAATTTACGGTATTTTAACAAGGTACTAATCTGAGTAAAAAACATGTTGAATAAACCTTCTGTTTAATTTGTGTACACATAGCGGAGAGGAAGCCCAGTGAATGATCTAATCTAGTGTAGAAGGAAGTAAAATTAGGAAACTAGACACGCAAATAAGAAATGAAACAGAGCATGTGATTTTTCTATTGTGGGGATAATCTGTTTGCTATATGCAGGCTTCATCTTACTCCTAAATATTAATGGTGATTTTTATCATTAATGGATTATAAATATTAAATACAAAAAATGAAACTGAAAGAAAATATAACTAAATACAAACTAAATGTTTGAGATACAGTGTTTTTCAGTACTGAGAATTTTCTCTTTTCTTCTCTTTTCTCCCTTTCTCTTACCTTTCTTTTACTTTTTAATTTTCTAGAGAAACATTTCTATATCCTCTTCAAACAAATAAAAAGGCCAGTTTCCTTCGGCCTGTTACTTTATAGATGATATCAAGAGTTCTTTCAATTTTCTCCATCATTTCAATTTACAAGCATAGGAGAGCATTTGTGAAATTTTCATTTATAGACTTCTTGTGTGGGGGAAAAGATAAATCTTAAATTAACCTTACCTCTTGTAACTCCAGGGACTGCATGTGATTGTTTGTTCTAAAAGAAGCGTGCTAAGCATAGTGAAAAAGAAAATGAAAGCAGGACCTTAGTTCCAGTGGAATGGCGCTGGGGCAGTAGGAGATTTGCTTTTTATCCTTCACATTGCCTGTTTCTGCTTTCTGTAAAGAGAAGACTCTAATCAAGAGTCAGAGAAAACTGTGATTGTGGCTTCAGTCCTGAAGACTGTGGCCCTTTGATAGAATTTTTGGCGCGGACGGGAACCATCTGATAGGATTTTTGGCACGGCTGAAAAGATAAGAAATTTGAAATAAAAGCGACCTTTATTTTTAAGAATGTGGGAAGAGACCCCATGACCCTCCAGGGTCTGGCATTCTCTCTGCCAGACACGTGGTGTGGGGGCATACATGTAGCTTAGGTTTGGGGCGGTGCCTAAGGGGCATTAGTGATGCACAGGTAGCCCATTGGTATTCATTAGGCGCCACAGGTAAGTTGCCTAGGGGTGGGAAAGGTGACCTCAAGATAGAGCCTCTTGGTTCTGCCTTCAAGGCTTTACTGGCTTACAGTGTCCCATCTGGGGCAAAAACCTTTCACCTCTGATCCCATAATTCTGTCTTTCTTTTGTTTTCTTTTCATTTTCTTAATCTAATTTTCCAGACATGTCACCTCCTAGAAGCCAATATTTGGCACTTGAGCAGGAACCTGAAAACAAAGATAGTCACTGAGACATCAGGAAAAGGATTTCAGTGCTAAGTGGACCAGAGAAGAGTCAGAAGGGTATGTAAGCTGTGTCTCTTGGATTTTCTCATTGGGGTTACAAAAGAAAGCCCCAATTTCAGCAAAAAGAGTACATTCAGGTTCTTAAAATTTGTTGAAGAGTTCAGGGGTTAAAGTGAAACCACAGAATTTCATTGAATTGTTCATCTCATTAAGCAAACGTTGCTATTGGTTTGAAACCAAAAGGCATAATGTGTTAAATTTAAAACAATGGGTATGGGATATGAAAGCTATGAAATGTATTTAACAACAAGGGAATTCCTTTCTTTTACATGTTTGGTCTTTGTGTAATTTGATAACTTTGTCGTCAGAACCCAGTGCAATCTGAATTGGAACAGGAGATTTTGCCAGATGAGAGAAATGCTAAAGGCAAAGACAATTCTTATTTTGATTTGGACAACAGTTTACCTGAGAAGACTTTACTGCTTTGTGGTCAGGGACCAATTAAGGAGGTGAAAGGACGTATGGATCTTTTGAAAATCTATCTACTACATTATCTTCTTTCCATCACCTATTGATGAGCCAGTAAAATGTGACTTTCTGCCTTTACTGTTCTGTCCCAGACCTATACTGTGGCACCGTCAGCCCCAATATATGATAAATCTATCCCCTTTCTAGATCCACCTCACATGATAATTAAAACACCAATGCAAATGACCGCAATAATTAAGCCGTTTGTTCAAGCAAAACAGGAGAGTGATTTACATGTTTCTGAATCTTTTGGTATGTATCCAGTCACTAGATTCTGAATGCCAGGAGTTCAGTAAAATTTCCAAGGTTACATTGGACGTGACCATAATCCACACCTTTTAAAACTATTAAAGAACTAAAATAGGCTTATTTTATGGAGTGAACTCTCCCTGTACTTTTAGTTTGAATTCAAGATTGGCTCAATCTGAACATTTAATCCCTTGAGATTGGGAAATGATAGGGTACATTGTTCTTGGCTCCACTGAATTTCTTCACTTCAAAATTTGGTGGAGAGGGGCTGAGGATTTAGCTCAACGGCATAAGCACCTGCCTTGCAAGCAGGCGGTCGTGAGTTCGATCCCTGGTACCGATAAAAATGAAAAAGACAAAAACAACAACAACAACAACAACAACAACAAAAAAAAACTTGGTGGAGAAATGGAGTAGAATTGACTGCCTGATGCAATGAGCATGAAAGCCTCCAGTCCCTGTTTCTACTGACCAATTCATTGATTTGGAGGATATGTTTGGAATAAATCACCAGCTCCAATATGATGATGTTGCTAATGTTCAGACAAAGATGTGCTGTTTAAAGGCATAAGGAAAATTGTTCTTTCTGACCAAATGGTTGCATCAGTGGTCAAAGTAGTCCAAAGTGCCAATGAACATTGTATAGAATTTGTAGCTAGATTAAAAGAAGTACTTCAAAAAATGGTGTCTCAATCAGACTTGAGGGATCTTCTTGTGCAAATATTATTCAGAATGCAAAAAAGTGTTATGACCATTAAAATCTCAAAGTAACATCTTAGATGAGTATATAAAAAGCCTGTCAATTGGATCAGAAACCTTTTAGGTTGGATTACTTGCAGCCACCTTATAAGGGACTTGCCCATTTGCTCCAAAGACTACTAAATAAATATTTTGAGTGTGGAAAGATCAGTCATATGAAAAAAGAATGTAGAGCAGGAAAATTGAGAGCAAAGACCCAATCCGAGGAGAGACCTGATATTTTGGGGAACCAAAATGCCCAAACGTCTTCCAAAGACAGACCAGGATTTCAAAAAGGACCACACTGGACCAAACAGTGCCAACTGAAATAAGTATGGCACTCTTCTGATTGCACAGGGAAACTCTAAATCAGGCCCTTCTTAGGGTCTGATAATGAACAATATGAGGCATCTTCAAGTCTTTCCTGTCTGCAATGGTTACAACCCTGCTCGTGCCACCACCAGCAGTACCACAGTCTGAGATATTCCTTCTAAAGAAAATGTCATGTTATCTCCAACTTTAGGAGTTCAAAAGATTAAAACAGGAATTTATGAACTATCATCACAAGGGACTGTAAGTTTGTTAATGGGAAGAAGTAGCTTAACTGCTAAAGGAATCGTAGTTCAAACAGGCATAATTTATTCGGATTATAAGAACAAAATTCAGGTAATGGTACAAATATTGCAACCATAATAAATAGAAGCCTGAGGTTGTGTAGCTCGGCTATTGCTCCTTACATTGAGGGTTGTGCTTCTCCAGCTAAAGGGGAAGAAGGTTTTGAGAATACAGGGAAAAAGACTTTTTGGAAAACACATATAGTAGTCAAAAGACCTTAACTACAATTTAAAATGGGAGATTAAAGCATTTGTTGGGTGGGTAGACATGAGAGCTGATGTATTCATGATATCTTGGCAATATCAGCCTAAGCATTGGCCTACAACACAAATACCTACAGTCTTCTCAGATGTAAAGACAATGACGGACTTTCATCAGAGTGTGCAAATTCTCCAAACTGCTGGCCCTAAGAACAAACAGGCACTATAAAGCCTCATATAACTGATATTGCAGTTAATTGTGGGGAGGATATCTGTTAATACAATGAGGAATCTATGTGAGCATCCCACATGTATCATCTCAAGCAAAAAGTATAATGTCTTGTATTCACTATAATCCATGTGCTGATAATAATGATATACAGGCCCCAGAAATCCTGACAGAAAGGCCAGGTTTAGGAAATCTGAATTTAGAATAGAAGCCACCATGGGAAAGGGATTCAATTTATCCTTAAAATGGCTTGCAATTAAGCTAATCTTGGTGGCAGTGGTCTCTTCCAAAAGAATTAGAAGCCCTAAAATCCTCAATACAAGAACAATTGTCAGATGGACATGTTGAAGAATTTACTAGTTCCTGGAATTTCCCTGTATTTGTTACTAGAAAAAAATAGGTAAAAGAATACTTACAGACATTAAAAAAATTAATGATATTGTTGCAGGTAGCTAAGTTAGAAATATTGTAGGCAGTGAGATGGGGCTAGGTCCTCAATGGAGCCAGTGCAGATACCTGGCAACTGCGGGGAAATTGGATGCCTCCTGCTTTGGGCCAGCCCTCAAAACAAAAAACCATACAAATGCACCCATATGTTGAGGATTAATACCCTAAATAGTTCCCATCCTCCTAGGAAAGAGTCACAGCTCTGTGAGAATGTCCACTTTCTACTTGACATGCTTCCCCATTTGTCCCTAATGTAATCACTTTTACCTGAACTATTGATCTTATTGGCTAACTATAGTTATGTCCCACCTTATGCCCATCAGCCTTGTGAGTTTCCAGTCTTCCCCTACCTTGAACCCATGGTTTTGCTCTACAAAAGTCCCTGGAAAAGACGGAGTCCTTAGTAACCTGCTCGGGACCCCTTCTGTCTCTCTTCAGACAGAAACTTCCTTTCTCTCAATATATTCTGCTCTTAACCTCCGTTGTTCCTAAAATTCATCCTTCGATTTTAGAGAACATGAGTTCTTACCAGACATAGTAGGTTTATTCAATCTATGACTGCATCTTAGCCTCGACTACCCTTCACTGTCATGACCCCAAAGAATGGGAAGTAAATTGTTGTAGATTTTAAGGATTATTTTTGACTATTCCATGACAACTGACTCACAGAAAAAAATTGGCATTCACTGTACCTACTTTTAATAACCAGGAGTCAGTAAACATATTCTTGGAAAGTACTACTCCAATGAAAGCTAAGTAGTCCAATCTTCTGTCAATATTATGTTAATCAACCCTTAGATTTAGTAAGAACAAGATTCTCTAATTATTTAATTATTCACTGTATGAATGACATTGTCTTCTCAGGCAGTACAGAAAAATATTTACAAAAGTTTTTAAAACAGCAAAACAATTATTGATGGACTTGGAGTTACAAATAGCCCCAGAAAAAATACAAACTGAATATCTTACTGTTTATTTAGGTAATATATTTCAAAATCAATACATTATTCCTTAGAAAGTCAATATTGATCAGGATCAACTTCACAACCAATGAATTTCAAAAGGTTTTCAGGGATTATTAATTGGCTATGTCCTCCTTTAGTCATTGTTCCCCATGCCTTACAATACCTTTTCAATACTCTTAAAGGGAGCATAGCATTAGATAGCCCTTACATGGGAAGGGGAAAAAATTAGATTGGGTAGAACAACAAATGTGCCAAGCTCAACTAACCCATATAGATTTATTCAAACCAGTTACCCTCTTGATTTTTCTACCATACCATTCTCCTATGGATGTATAATGGCAAGAAGAAACTCTTAGAATGATTTTTTCTTCCATACAAGCAACAAAAGCAATTGACTACATACACAGATAAAATGGGTTCAATGATCTCATCCTTGACACTTATTGGGAAAAGGTCCTGAGTACATTGTTTTTTCTTTGAC